TCTCTCTCTCTCTCTCTCTCTCTCTCTCTCTCTCTCTCTCTCTCTCACACACACACACACACACACACACACACACACACACACACACTCACACAAGCATGCAAAATAAATGTATTTTTAAAATGCAAAGTTCTAGCTGGGTGGTGGTGGCGCATGTCTTTAATCCCAGCACTCGGGAAGCAGAGGCAAGTAGATCTCTGTGAGTCCGAGGCCAGTCTAGTCTACAGAGTGAGATCCAGGACAGGATTCAAAGCTGCACAGAGAAACCCTGTCTTGAAAAACAAAACAAAAAGTAAAGTTCTGATATAACTTTAAAAAAAAAAAAGTACTAAATGAGAAAGAAAACCTTTAAGCTTCCACAAAATTTCTAATAAATACTAAGTAAACAGCCACAGCCACAACACACAGGAAACACAAACAATGTGTTAAAGGAACACACATAAAAACCAAATGAAACTATTCTTCATTAATCACCCTGGAAAAAATGAGGTAATCTCTAGCGTCTGTCAATACAGGACCAGGAAAGATGGCAGACAGTTGAAGCACCTGTCAGAACTGTAAATACATTTACACATTTAAAGCAGAAGATCCAATGCTAGCAGTGAGCTTAAGTGGCTGTAAACCATGTGAGTGTTCACTATCACATTACTTAGAAAACTGAAAACCTAAATAAATGCCCACCAATAAAAATCTGGGTAGCTGGGCGGCGGTGGCGCACGCTTTTAATTCCAGCACTCAGGAGGCAGAGCCAAGCAGTGTGAGTGAGAGGCCAACCTGGTCTACAGAGGGAGATCCAGGACAGGCACCAAAACTACACTGAGAAATCCTGTCTCAAAACAACAACAACAACAAAAAAAAAAAAATACAAAAAATACAAATCTGGGTAAACAGACTTTAAGACCATATACAGAAATAAATGCTATGTATTTTTTAAAACATATATGGAAATGAAAACATGCTTATTATATTAACTAAACATGAAGTCCACCTGCATTTTCAAGTGAAAAGAAATTATATATACACACACAGAAAACTTAGGAGAAGCCACTAAAAAGATGTCTTGTGATGACTGGCTCTAGAGAGTCCAAATGGGACACGGGAGACTTTGGTTTTACTAGTTGAGCTGTTCTTTAATATAGGATATTTTCCCCCCACACAGATATAACTTCAACAACCCTTTTAAAAGAAACTCAACAAAAGATCTCACATTGAACAATAAAGACACAAACTTCAAGATCCTTTTTTTTTCAAACATTTACTGAACACAACACCATTTTTCCTTTTACACAGCAAAGTTGTTAGTTTCACATTAGCCGAGCCATTAGGACTGTCAATTGCCATGAAATCAAAAGTGATTCTACATGTCAAACTCAAACAGAAGACATCATGCAATATATAAATCACTGATAGACCTCGGGTGCAGTCAGCAAGGTTACTATGCTTATTAAAGTCACATAAATGGCTTGACAAGAGTGCACGATAGAATGACATCACTGGCTTGTAATAAACCATGGTGAATTACTAGACTACAACTATGTAGCTCCTCTGCCCCGAGGACGGCAGGATGCGGTGAACATTACAAAGGACAGGGTCTTGCCAACAGGTTACGGCCAGATGTTACTCCCCAGCTGTGGACCTCTGAAAAGACTGGGTAGGAAAGCTGGGGGGAGGGTCCCTTCATCTTTTCTCCTCTACCAATTACTGAGCAACAACAACAACAACAGCCATGCACACATTTTACAACACCCAATAAGAAAGAGATACAAAACCTGTCTGTTTCCTCGCCTTGCAGGCTTGCATCCTCATGCCTTCATTTTTCTGGTGAGGCCACTCATCCCATGATTCACCCCTAAAGGAAAGCTGACAGTAATTCAGCAGTAGTCACCCCTGCAACACACCAAAGATATCCTCCCCATAAGCATCAAGCCACTGTCCCTTCCCAATACATTAACACAAAGGTACACTCCACAAACCTAGGACTAGAGACCACATTTACTTTACATTGGAAAAGTCAATGTATCAGCATTGTCACTGTAGGATTTATTCCAGATCCCAGGGTTGGGAAAGGGGATGTTGTATGCCCTGGCCCATCTCAAGGTTTGGGCAGGTCTATCTATCAGACATGTCTAAGGAAGCCCCTCTGTGTATGTACATAGTGAGGGACTGGCCGACGATATTCAGAATGGAGCTGTGCACTTTCAAAGTGGGAGTGGGCACAGCTTAGAATCTGGACTGAAATCAGTTCATAGAGCAAAAGACAGAGTTGAAGGTTTTACTCCTATTAACATAGCAGGAAGTCTTGTCAGTGAGAAGGATGTGCTCCCGAGCGCACTGACATCTGAGCAGCTGATAAAGAACACTTCAGATTTTTATAACTGTCCTAATGAAGTATATATAGACACTTTTATCCACCTACTCAGAGTTCAGCCACTGGCCACTTCTCAACCAGCAATGGGCAGACAACTCTCTCCTCTGGCTGCCCTACTCCAAGAATAAGGAAGCTCTTCTGCTTGGATTATCCAAAGTGGATCTCCCGATTTTGAGGAGAAAAATGCTGTTAACACAGAACTGCTCTCTGGAACTTGAATTTTCAGAAACATTCGTCTAATGCCGTGTTGCCTTTAGGGAGGCCTTGCTCCTAAATCATAGCTGATGCCAGTCAAATAGTCCTCCCAATCACCATTTATCAACTATTGGTGTAATGAGATCAAAACCCTGTCAGAAACTAGCAAAACCAAAGCTTGGCAGGTGGGCTGCTCTGGGGTTTGCATGTTTCAAGTTCCTTCAGTGGGGAACCTTCAGGTGGTCGGGCTGTCAGAGCAACCAGGGTGGACTAGAAAAAGCTATGGTGTCCGAGTCAGTTACCCCCTTCTTCAGCAAGTAAGGGGATGGGTTTGCTGCCCAGACTGGGGTGAGTCACTGACACGCAAGTGTTCACTTCCTAACTGCAGAAGTGGAAGACACCCTCCTGCACTCCTGGCTCATCCAAATTTACGTGACAATTTACATGACAGAGAAGTGTTCTGGGAAATCACTAACATTGCCAAGAAAGAGTTGGACTTCAAAGCATGATTCTACCAATCACAAACAAATGACAGCCGAGGCTGCAGGAGACAGCCCAGGAAACTAGCTACAAAGCTCCCACCTTCCACACCTACTTATTTTTCTTTAAAAACAAAAGTTTATGGAACATTTGGCTGAGCTTATTTTTAAAGAATTCTACCAAAAACCAATGATGGACAAAACAGGCATGAAGATCACTTCTTCCAGTAATGGCTTTATACAGGTGCTCCCCAATGCACAAATGTGGAGTGACTTGACAGACAGAATTAGACCCTCAGCCAGAGTGCACAATGTGCAGCTACAGTCTAAATAAATCTAGCCAGTTTACCACCAGCATGGCTCAGTCTGCTCCCCATCATCAGCAGTCTTCCCCCTTCAAAGCTGTCCTTAATTCCATCTCTGATATGGACATATTATCATTATCGTCATATATAATATCTAGAACAGTGTTGGTCCTGGGTAGTGAAGGGGAAAAAATGTTTTTAAAACATGCAACATTATCTGATATTTTAAGTTTAGGTGCTTAAAACCATACACATTAAAAAACGGAACCAACTGAATACTAAGTGTCACAGCTATTCCTCACTGTCCCTTTCAGGCCTTCGAGTCTGAAAAGGAAAGACCTGACCTGAGCCTGGGCAGAGGCAGGACTGACTCACCTGTGCAGTGCATCATCTCCTCCAGGCCGCTGAGAGCTGCCAGAGCAAGTGGAGACAGAATCTCCTTGAGTCATGTCAGGAGGGTCAAGGTCAGTAGTTCCCAAATTAGGGTCATTCCAACACCTCCCTTTAAGCCATCAGGAAGCCTTCCTTGTAAACTCTCAAGTTGGGAACACAGAAATCTATTACCATGGAAGAATTCACCATCCAAACACTCCTAACTGAAGCAAGAACACACACGAAGCACAATGACAGCAACTGTGTCTTGACCCTTGGAGCAGGAAGTTCGTCAAGTCTCTCCTGCCCTCCCAGGTAGTTCATTTTGTGGGGTATCTCTGTGAAGGCCCTAGGTGCTGATTTTGGCTTGGTCATTTTTTATACTGCTCCAACTGCAACCTTCCTTGTCCATTTTAAAAAGCACAGGTAAAATGTTTGTGAAATCTTACAGGTTGTTTAAAGTTTATATCTGATGTTGCATCATGACAACGCTTTTCACTAAAGGAAAACAAGAAGCTGCGGGTCTCCACTTATGGTACCATGCACTAGGGGTAGCTCAGGCATTCATTTGGCACTAGAGAAAAATTACAGGAACAACTAGTTTTACTTTCATTATCATTCCCAGCATCAGGAGAAGCAGGTGTTCCTTCAACTTGAATTTCTGTGATGCTTATAAGAAAAATCACAGAATACTCTTGAGAATTGAAATGTTGCTGATATAAGAAAGCAAAAAAAGACCTCAGTACCACATTCCGTGGTAGAAAAGTCTGCAGCTCTGAGATATACCTTCTGTGTGGCATTGAGAATCATTTTTCCTCATCAAATACTTCATTTCCTATACCCTACTCCCGGTTTTCCTACATCTTACAATGGACTAAGTAAAGACATCAGAAGTGTGTCCTCGTTCATCTTACACCTAACAGGGAGACAGAAATAAATGTCCTCTGGAAAGGCAGTTTCCCAATTTTAAAGATACAACACAAGAAGAAAGGGCTAAAAGGGGGCAAAGAGACTATCCAGCTATACTATGCCAATGTTTCATAATACAGTGTGCTCCTTATTTAGGGCTGTGAGCCAAAAATCAAATGCATGACTGCAATTTAGATCCATCATTACAACAGAGACCGGAAAACAAGACTAAGGGTGGAGTCTAGCAATGTCCACAAGGTTGAGCTAAGATCACCAATTAGAAGACACTACCCAGCAGAATGCAATCATTTCCATGAATTCAACTTTCCAACAATAACTGCACATAATTTCCAGATTAATAATCAGTAGCTAAGTGTTTCGAGTCCTCCTGGTGTAAAATGTGCTGTATCATTCTGCACGCACAATGAGAGTGAGAACCATCCACGCAGGGCACGAGCATCTCCCATTGCTCTCAATGTTCCTTTTTAGTTCATTTTCTTCATGAAATCCTCAAAACTGCTGCACGGATGACATGCTGACATCAGCTTAACAGAAATACTTTTGTAGGCAGCTGTTTAAAACATCATCAATTTCAAATCACAAATGCCCTCTATTACACAAAATATCTTACATTCATTCCTTTAAAAAAAGAAAAAGAAACCAAGAACTGTCCAAACACCTTCCAGTTATACCTGAACAGTGCTGCTCTGTTTAGTGCTGAAATCAATACATGAGACAAGAGCCAAAGGGAACCAAGGACGGATGGGCTGAAGGGGTGGAAAGAAAAGGACAACCTATGAACACATACTTCTATTGTCTGTGATTAAAGTTCTTTACTTTTTAGCACCACATTAAACGATTTTACACATCCAGTCACTTAATGAAATCCAACAAACTCTTCAAGAGTCCGGGGGATCTGGTCTTGGTAGTTAATATCATTAGCCCGAACTGCTCGGGCAGCCAGGCACTTGAGGCTCATCTTCATCTGAGTTTTAAGTAGTATTTCAGACACCCCAGTCGTACTTTTGTCTAGTGGAGTCTTATTCTGCTTGTTTGTCATGTCGGTGTGAGCGCCGGCCTCCACAAGGCTGATGATGATGGAGTGCAGGGTCAGAAAGTCACTGATGGGCCTGTTGTACTGGACGATAATGTGGAGGGCGCTGTTCCCCTCGTTGTCGACGGCATTCACCTCAGCACCACAGTCCAGCAGGAGCTTCGTCACCAGTGCGTTGGGAAAGCTGCAGACGTCGTTGGTGTGGAAATCATCGACTGGTGTGTTCGAGTTGACAGCCAGGTGTAGCAAGGTGAAGCCTTCCCGCGTCCTGGGGTCCAGGTGGATCAGGTTGTAGATCTGCTTGTTAATTCTGCACTGGTCTTCTTCACTACACTGGGTCTTGGTGGAGATGCACACCAGATACAGGAAGGTATAGAGGTTACACTCATAGTTGTCCATGGCACTGTGGACGTCAGCATCGGAGATACTTTTAACTCTGTTCATACTCTGCTCTATTTCCAAAACACTGCATCTCAGAACACATTCTATGTCCGGGGCCTTCACAGCTTCGTTGAGGTGTATCATCTGGGAGAAGACTTGAGCAAATCGCAGGAGATCCTTGTGGGTGTTCCTATTACCTTTCTGCCTGAGGTGGAGCGCGTGAAGCCACAACTTGATGCACTGCTCGAACTCCATGTTGTCAGCATAGACAGCCCCTCTGTAAATGATGGGGTGGGAAACATCAATGTTGTCAGCACCTAAAATCCGTTCCCGCACTATAAGGCCCTCCATGTGAAGAGCATCTCTGTCTTGCCGGATGGACTCCAGTTCCTGGGGGTTCCTACACTCAGTTCTGTTCCCATAAGCATGGATGGGTGGGAGAACCTCTTTTTCAAGAATGTTGTCACCATCCTGAAACCTCTCCAACATGGCTAAATATAAATAGTGGTATGTCTTCATGATGTCATAGTTCTCACGGTCATTTGCAAAGGAGGCACCCAAAAGCTCCAAGGCTTCAATCCGACTTCTGCGGTCACAATCGGCATGAGAGAGCAACAGTTCAACGACATCAGCTTTACAGCTTTCGGCAGCCACTTTTAACGGTGTCATCCCATGGCCGTTCACCACTATTGCAGCTCGCCATTTGATCAGCTCTTTCACGATGTCAATGTGACCAGCTTCAGCTGCGAAGTGCAGCGCTGTGGCCCCACAGTGTGCTTTCGCGTTGGGGTCAGCGCACTGTTCTAAAAGGTATCTGACAACATCCGTGTGCCCCTTATAAGCTGCGATCATCAGACAGGTGTTGTCATACTTGTTGGCAATGCTGATATTGGCATTATTTTCCACCAAATATTTCACAATGTCCAGTCTGCCATCAAAGCATGCTGCCCGCAGTGGGGTTGAGTTAGTGACTGTGGTGTGGTTCACATTGGCTCCATGGCTGACTAGAAGTTTAACAACTTCAAAATGTCCGGCTCCTGCAGCACACCAAAGAGCAGTGGCACCATCAATGACATACCTACACACAGAAAGAACAGTCAGTCAGACAATGGGCTCACAGGCCCTGACGCGTTTAAAAGGGTGCATTCACAGACACTAACTGAAACACCTCTCTCCCAAACGTTAATGGAGTATCAGTTTGTGTAGAAATAAAAACCATTTCAGCAAAGTGCTTTATTCTAATATGAAATCAATAAAATTATTGTTACTGTTATTTCTAAAGTTTCAGTTTTTTTAAATCTAAAGAATACTCTCAGGGGTTGGAGAGATGGCTCAGTGGTTAAGAACACTGACTGTTTTTCCAGAGGACCCAGGTTCAATTCTCAACACCCACATGGCAGCTCACAACTGTCTGTAACTCCAGGATCCAACACCCTCACATGCACACAAAATAAAAATAAATAAATTTAAAGAAAAAAAATACTCTCTAATGGCAACAATACCCTTCAGAAAACACAAGAGGGTCTGGGGCCAGGCATGGTGGCGCATGCCTTTGATCCTAGCACTTGGGAGGCAGAAGCAGGAGGATTTCTGTGAGCTCAAGACCAGCCTGGTCTACAAAGTGAGTTCTAGGATAGCCAAGGCTGTTACACAGGGAAACCATCTTGAAAAACCACAATCACAATCTCTCTCTCTCTCTCTCTCTCTCTCTCTCTCTCTCTCTCTCTC